ATACAACGAAAGGGGACTGCGACCACACAAAAGGTCACACCATCTCGATCTTCATATCTTCGATTAAACTATGGAAGTATAAGACGCAGGACTTGGTACGTTCCACGAGGTTCCACTGTTGCTCCGGCCAATTTGCAAAAAAGTGCTTAAATTAACGATAAAGGCCATACCATCTTGATCTTCATTGCTACTTCATAATTACCTTTTTTGGCATGGAGGCTTGCATGTATGTCTATATTAGTGGCGCAATCCTTATAAATCTGCATCGGAAACGTATTTTGCCCTCAGCGCAGGTGCCTTAGCGTCTGCCTAAAGATGTACTCGTGTAAAAGGCAGTATCTCCTTGGCCACGAACACAGCTTCTTTTGTTGGCTGCAAAAGTGGTATCTGATGCTTTTAGATATTATTTAGACTGGAGATAAATTTATGTGCCCTATTCGTCCTTCATTAATACCCATTAACCCTTGCATCGACCCGACACTTCCATCATGGTCGCTATCCTACGTCCTAATCTGGTTGTCAGAATTAAACAATCGACGCTCAACCAGCCTTATTAATCTGATTGCCACAAGTGGCAGCTCCAGTCTTAACATCATCACCACCACTACCACAGCCGTCACAACTCCAACCGCTAATATCAACGATATCCTCGCTACAATGATTTCTCCTCGGAGCATCGGCCAGAACTTCCGGCCTCTTGCTTCCTGCTGCCTTCGTTCTCAATCTTTTCCCTCACTCTCCGTTGCCGGTCCGTCGTGCTTTGTTCGGCCATTCCTTCATGCTTCGTCCGATCTGCCTGCTTTTGTCTCAAGTAGCTTGACCACGTTGACAGCCACCGATGCCTTGACGGAGGCCAGTGTCTTGGGTGACACTATTTCTGATGGAGTAGAGATGCTTGCATTTTTCGCTCTTAATACGCGGCCAAATGACAGTCATAAGACGAAAACCAGTTTGATTCAAAGCTGTGGCTATGATGATAATGACAAGTGTAGAACTCCCTCTTTAACTCTGAATGGCCAGGTGAAAAATTTCATCGAGTCATCTGAGCACTCTGTTTCTGAAATTGCTATACCTGCTCCTGATCCATCAGACGAGGCAGATGAGCTGGCAAGGCTACGAAACAGATCAGCAAAATGGAGCTGGTGGATAACGCCGATGTCGAGCAAGAGAAATCACAATAAAGATGGACAAATTATGCTTGGTAAACAGGCTGTAAACAATGAGGCTCTTATTAAGAGACCCAGTGAATTCCAAGAGATTACAAGACCTGTGAATATGGAGGGTCTAAAGAGTAAGCAGAATAAAAATGCATCATATCAGGAAATAGGAGGGAATACAAAATTTAAGGATGAGATGAGAGTAAAGTTGGAGGACGCACTTGATAGGACTGAGGAGAACAAGTTTGAAGAAATCAATTTACAAGCAGGTGAGTCTCGAGAAGACACTTCATCGCACCTTCGATCGCCAGATACGTGGTTACCAGAGCCATCACCATCTCCCAGCTCGCAGGCCCATCGTGCCTGGATCTTCTCAAAATGGACTACCCTCCGAGTAGCACGACGCCTCTCACGATCTAGCAAACAACCTTCTTCAGTCTGTTTAGTTAAACCACCAATATCGATATCGACCTCGACGCAGATTGAAGAAGACTTTGATCCTCGTAAGGCTGGAAAGCTAGATGGCTAACCAACTTTGTTTCCATACCAATGTTCTGTTTGCGCTTATTTTAGTGTGAGAGTGCTAGTCTTCGTGTTAATGATCTGATCTCGCCTAACCTTTCTTAATTGGCCTGTTCTGATTTTTTTACCAATTAGCTTATTCGAACATTCATGCATGCAACTTCAAGAACATGTAATAAATTTTGTCTACTAATAGTGATTCTCCCGTTTATGCTTTATGGCAAAATCACCTCAGTTTTTCAAGATTTATA